AAAAAATCATTAAAAAAAGTCAATGTTAAATTCTTTGACCTAATTTATAACCCTTGAGAATATTGTGTCAACTGCATTTCCTGTGGTTTTGGTGCGAAAAAGCTCTACTTACATAGCTAAGTCCTGAAACCATATCATCACCTAGGTCCATTCCAAGGTTCACGAGGCCACCAGAGGAGTCAGGGACCCAGAATGCCCGCCTTCTCGTCATTTTCTGTGACTGTCCCAATTCTCCGTTTCCTCACACCAAAGACCCTGAAAATACAGCAGTAGGAACAGCTTAGATCCAGCCCTGAGCAACCAAAAAAGGGGGCCCTCACTCTGCAGGGAGGGCTTCAGGTCACGTGAAGGACAAGGTCAGGGGCACAACAACAGCACATCCCTGTAACTTGAATGTGCGTGGCTTCCACTTTTTTAGCTCCAGCGTGGGTGTCAGTCCATAGTCACTTAGGAAAATCTCTCGCCACTCTGCCCACAGGTTTGCTTATAAATAAGTATCATGCTTGTTTTATTTCATTCTGTAATTATACATTTATTAGAACCATTCGCCTAAAGTTCACTTACTGCCCTGGACAGAGAGCCTCATGAAGACAAGGGCCTGTTTTGCTCACTGTTGGATCCCTGGGACCTGATACCATGCTAAGAGAATAATAGCTGATCAATACATAAATGAATGGATGAATATAATGTCACTTTGCCGTTCTCTGATTCACAGTTTTCATAAGCTTAGGAGTCTCTGGACGTGACTGAGGAATTTTAAGTAATTACAGTATTTAAACGAGTATATTTGTATGCTTTTCATTTTTGCCTTTCTGTGTAGCTGACTAGCTAGCTCCAGGGTTGACCTAGAACAACCATGCACTGAGACAGCAGAGGGGGTGGTAATTTAAAGTATCACTGAAGTGAAGAGAAAAGAAACTTGCTCTAGGGGAGCTTTGATGGTTTAGTGGTAAGAAGTTACGCTGCCAACTCAAAAGTACATGGTTTGAAAAAAAATAAATAAAAGTTCATGGTTTGGATTCACCAGCTGCTCCATGAGAAAAAGAGGGGCAATCTCTTCCCATGAAATTTACAGCCTCTGAAGGCGCACAGGAGAGTCAGCTATGAGTCAGTGACAGCCATAGTACATAACAACAACAACAGCAAGGTGTGGATCCACAGAACAGCACGTCCCTAGGCTTAGTTCACTACCCTGTTGCTGCTGTCTTCAAATCCTTACTCATTTTTAACATGGAGTCCCCCTTTTCACTTTACATTGGAACCCATACGCTATCTGATCAATCTACGTGTTCAGTTACGGCTTTTGACATTCAAGAACTAGATTTTGCTTCAAGGAAATGTACATGCAGATTAGACTATCGTCTAGAGGGGGAATTCTTCGCTTGCCTTTAACCCACCTCCTCCCATTCTGCTTCTTCTTAGCACAACCAAACCTGGAATCCATTTCTAGAATTCTCCTAGGGAGCATTCTAGACTTTGCAGTGTAGCTGAAGGTAAAGTCTTCCAGGATGGTAGAAAAAAAGAAAAGGAGAAAGAAGGAAATGTGCTAGGTAACAGAGTGTTATACGGCCTTCATTTAAGACCCAGGGACTAAGACAGTTTCCTGGCTAGCCTAAGCATATAAACACAGCCCAGGAAAATCACCCTCCTTTGAGGAGGAGGCCCTCAGGACTGGGCCTCAATATAGTGAAGTCAGTTTATTCTTGCCACAGAGTCCTTAGCTGAGGGAATGAGATGGGGAGGAGGGGCAGAAAATTCCAGGTTGCAAGTCATGCACCCTGGCACAGGGCTGTGTAGGTGAAGAGCTGACAAATGTTTAACAATCGGCTCCTGTGAGGAAAGGACAAACCCACAAACCCCTACGGATATGTGCACGTCTTTATAATGTACTTTACTAAGGCAGAGCATTGCAGTACACAATTTAGAAAGGGGAAAAAAAGGGTAGCACTACTTCAGTTCCACATGGGCACTTGATTAACAGTGGTTTCATGGATTCTTTTCCTAGGGTCTGTAACTAACCTTGCAGCTGCAACTGATGAATGGGTGTAGTTTCAGCATGAGCATTGTTGATCCTTTGTCTTATGTTAAAGAGTAAGAATGTGAAGCACCAACAGATGTCTGTTAATTGGATCTTCTTCACACCTTTGTCAAAAATACAAATGACCTTGCTGAATTGGATAACAGTTTCTAAATTCTGGAAGAATAGGTGATTCCACTCTGCAGGTGCATATGTGCACGTGTGCGTGCTGGTGGCAATAGTATTCATGATGAATATCACTCACAATGGATGTCACTCACTTGCATTGCTGTGGACTAGGGACTGATGCATACCTAATCCTCCAGCAGGTTTTCAAAGGCTGGAAAATGATACAGGAAAAGATGGCCCATCTTTCTGTAAAGAGCAGCTAGTAGATTGGAGGCAAGGATTCTGGGGCTTCGTCTGACATACGTTGGGCATGTTGCAAGGAGGGACAGGTCCTTGGAGAGGGACATCATGCTTGGGAGGGTGGAGGGACAGCGCAAGAGGGGAAGACCCTCTATGAGATGGATTGATTCGGTGACTGGGGTAATCGGCATGGGTGTGTCAGAGGCAGTGAGATTGGCACAGGATAGAGCAGGGTTTAGCACTGTTGTATATAGGGTCGCTATGAATCGCAAACGACTGACGGCACATAACAACAACAACAACAACTCCCCCCTGACTAGGTCACCAGAGCTCCATCATATATTTATAGTTTTATTATACACTGTTAATTCATTCCTGTACTTTCTTCATAAACCTATACAATCAACAAACTAGTAAACAAAGCCCTTATTTAGAGTCATTTGCAATTTTCTGTGGTGTAAGTTCACCTTCTGTGACTAATTTCAATCTACCTAGATAACATCTCCAAATTTCAGTAAGAAGCTATTATATGCTATTTACACCAAACAGATAAAAGAAATGTAAACAACCTCAAAAGCATAAACAGTAGTATAATAATTAGGTATCTAAATGTAGAGTATCTGTTACCTTTGCTTTAAATAGGTTTACTGTGAGTTTATACCATTTAAATGTTTAATAGCATTTGCATTAAACAATGGGACTCTAAAAAAAAAAACAGTTGGCTCTAGGAGGCACCTAAAAGCTGGTTCTATCAGGTCTCAGTTGAGACCATCTGGAGAAAGAGGCCTAACTACTAAATCCTTCTCCCAGAAGGATACCTTTTCCCAATTCATCCACAGGTACTCTGTAAGAAAATGGTGGTTATGCCTTAAGGGAAAGCTTCCCAACTCCCACATAGTACAGGTGGAAACCAGAAGTATCTGAACATTTGATTGAAAGGCTTGCTAAAGGTGGCAAGGTGTGTCACCCAGGCTACAAATTAATGGGAATCATGGGGGATCTGGGAAGGAAGTATGCAGCCATCAGAAGCAGCAGAGAAGAGGTCCAGCCACTCAGGTCACGAGCAAACCTCCCAAACAGGCACCTGAAGCCTGAGCCAGACTCACTCAGCTTCCAGTGATGGGGGGCAGGTAGTAGGTGAACAAAAGACATCACACAGCAAAACAGAGATGCAGAGGGTTGTGAAGCAGGGACTTGACTCTTCGCCCAGTGACAACTTTGAGACAGTCTTTACTGAATACTATTACTTCCAGGTACCAGTTGCCCATCAAGTCAATTCCAACTTATGACAATTCTAAGTGTTTCGTGGTGGAAATGGTGAGGATGGCACAGAAGAGGATGCGTGCATACATGTATAGGGTGATTTACAGTATAGGGGAAGTTTTCTAGCTGTTATTTACAAAGTTGCTATGAGTCACAGAGCAAGCTCTGGTAACTCCCAGATCATAGTGGCTTCCAGGGCACCTAATGATAACAGCAACAGTGAGTTTCAGAATTAAACTGAGCTCCTCGGAGTTTTCAATGGTTGATTTTTTTTCTCCCCTGAAATAAATCACCAGGATCGCGTTATACATTCCTGTGGTGGACTTGAACACTCAATCTTCCAGTTAACAGCCAATTGTATTAACCATTTGCACTACTCAGGGACTCTGAGCAATACTTAGATTATTTAAATTACTGCATGAAATAAGGTTTTAAAATGACTAAATCTAAACCTTTATCTTCTCATTAACCATTAAGTAGAAACTGATGAGGAAAACCAGATTATTAGAGATCAAATAAAGAAATGTTTTTTCTCTTCCTCTTTCACGTACAGGATGATTTAATAATCTTGTTTACATTTACGTAACTTGCATGAAAATACTACAGAGGTTTTACTTTATACTCTCCACCCCGCTACTTTATTTTGTAGATTAAAATTTCCCTGCAAACTGACAAGGGCATTCAAAGCACATGAAAAATCAAGAAAATTCGTTATGTGTGTAGAGTGTGAATTGCACATTCCAGCCCAACCCAGCTGGAGCTCAGCCATACATTAGCTTGAATCTTCTTCTGCTTCCTTGCCGGGTGGGTGAATTCCCTCCAAGAAGTGCAGTAGTTCTTGAAAAATTCCCTGATCTCCCTACTTTCTCTCGGACAAAGTTTATCCATGATGGAAACCAGGACATGACCGGGAATAAAACAGAAAGGAAGCAGCTACTGCCAGTCTTCGATTTTCCTCCTGCCTATGGGCAGAGGTCAAGATCAACAGCAGTGTTTAGACACGGGTCTTTTGCATGTGGAAAAATGACCTATGCACCTGAGGGAGGGCCCTGGAGCAAAGTGAACTGTATCTAAAACTTTCTCCATTGGCTTATTTATTTCCTTATTGTTCTTACCCAGCAGGGCCAGGCTGTCAAGACCAAAAAGGCTACCAGAGAGTAGGGAAGGCAAGGGAGAGGAGGCTCCTGCAAGCCGGTCCCTGAAGACATTTAAGTGCTTAGACCTTTCTCTTGACTTCTTCCTTCTGCTTAAGTCATTCTATGTGTCATTCAACTTGACTTGTTCTTAAGTGACCTTCCTCTTGCTAGCTCCAAATGCTCTTGGCCAGAGCTATCCATTTTCTCTGTTCCAACAGCTGAGAATCGATGTTGAGTCTTGTTCCTTTCAGTGTTGGTCTTTGTAGCCGTCCTAACCCCTGCAGAGAAGGGTCCCCTCCCAGTTCCTTAGAGAACTCTGATCACTGAAGTCTCAAGTTAAATATCACCTCTTCAGGGTAGCCGTCCTAGATCTACCCCTCTAATGGTGCATCCTCCCTGCCTGTCACTTTGTACATTTTTCCTATT